AAGACATGATCATATTCCAGGATCTCATCGATGTTCACCCATCCACCCTCATTGCACTTCGGGGACACATGAGGTTTTCGACCGCGGTGCGATTGAATCCCATTATGCTTTCCCACTCCATGCCTGAGTAGTCTATTGAGTCTATGGCTAATCTCGTTGACCCTCTGACTCTCCTCGCTGAACTTGTCGATGCGAGTTGCTGGGTTCATCTTTGGTGGATCCGTGAAAGTTGCATCTCTCTTCGGTCCATTCCAGTACTCCACATAGAATGTAACTCCATACTGTGGAACTATCTCGATGTTTCCTCTATCGCAAGTCACCTCAATCTGCCGATATCCAACCTTTTGAACTTGTTGTGGGTCAGGAGCAAGGTCCTTCACTTTGGGCATCTTTATTCCGAGTGCTGCAGCCTCCTGAATAAGTGCATCAAGTTCCCTCTTTCCATCAGGACCTGATCTATCAACCCTGTGATTTGCGACCCTGTACTCTCCTCCTTCTTTGTCATCGGCAATGTCAAAGAGGTCGACGGGCTCTTTGAATCTGGTGACGAAACTGGCGTTCCCAAAGGCCTTCTTGGTTGCCTCGACCGCTTTCGCGTATTCCTCTTTTGCAGAGTCTGACGAGTGTGGTCTACCTTTGGCTCTCGGAGAGTGAGGTGGTACCTTACCTCCTAGTTCCGGCTCTTCTTCGGGAAGTTCAATATCTTCATCATCCACATCCATGTAGTCCTCGTCTTCGACGTCTTTGGATGACTTTGCTTTCCTCTTTCGGCTTTCAACATCACGTCGGATGATTGCCTTGTCGTCCTCGGTGAAGCACTTGCGCATAGTTTCCTCCATGTAAGAGAATGAGTTCATCAACTCGTCCTTCTTCTCAGTATTGGGACAAATAGCCAGGTGATGTTGGTTTGAACCACAACAATAGCACACCTTTTGGCTCACTGCGCGTGCTCTGACCCTTCTGAGGTTGTCATAGGCGGCTTTCCAGTTGGAAGCGGTTGCTGTACCTTGCCCACTGCGCTTGGCAGCTCTTTTCCGTTCTTCAGTATCTGGATTCGATGTCGGGTAGTGCGACCATGTTTTCGTCGGGGATACTGAACGACCTTCCCCATCCTTGTAGTCTTGCGGATCAAGCTCAGGCGTAGGTGGTTCAGGTTCCTCGACTCCTGGAGTGGTACTCGCAGGGTCGGCTTCGCCATCCTTCATCTCTACATCAGGCTCTTCCGTAGACGTTCTTTTGGGCTCTGGGGCTATGGCCAGTCGTACCATTCTCCTGAACTCTGGTCTGGTAGCATACCTGGACATGACGGCATCGATACAGGCT